ACAAAGACTATATATATATATATATATTCCCGTAATTACTCTTTAGAGAGTGCGAACCAGGTAAAGCGGGTTCTAAAGTGAGTTAAAAAAGAGAATCGATTCACCTTGTTGGCATCTCCTCTCAGGTAAGCAGCAGCAATCCATCCATAGAGAGCTTCCTCTTCTCCACTCATTACTGTCACTACAGTCTTCTTGAATCCTGCTCTCATCAGAAACTCTCTCATCAGGGATGAAACATTAGTTGTCCTTTCAACACAAAGACATCACTTTAAAAACTCTTTTTAATCTTTGCTTCGTTTAAAAATCAATCAATCAATATTTTCAACGATTATTAATTAAAGATATTTTCATGGAAATAGGGTTCAATGCATGTAAGTAGTTATCTGAGTGTTTTTACCAAATGACTTAAATAAGTAATATAATGCACTATTAAATTAATTATCGAACATTGTAATGTATTTTATTCAATTTCTGATCTCAGCTCGCAAATTGTATTTACATTATACAACACTGTAAAGATGTCCATACAAACTAAAACCGATTAGTATTGCGTGCGCAGTATGTTTTTTAAAATTGTCTTATTTATGGGCATTACAGTGAGTTGCACAGACGAGGGCTTAATATGAACTTGCTCCGACTAAAAAAGATGGATCTTCAGGCTATTTACGTTTAAGAAAAATTTTTATGAATCGGGAATCTTTGGACAACAGATCTCCATGAACGCAGTACTTTCATCTGAAAGTTTCTGGAAGAGGTATAGAGATTTGTCTGCACTATAGGATTCAGGTCTAAGGACCTGGCTGGCCACATCATCTCTTGAATATCTTCAAGATATTCATCGACCCGTTCAATCCCTATCACAGATGAAAAATGAATTGTCGACTGAATAATCGTCGAATATAATACTCTAAAAATTTAAACCTCAAAGAATTCAGGATGAGTTCAGGTGAGGGAAAAAGTTCACTCCAAATATCATCCATTTTGGACACATGTGCTATGAATCCACTAATGAGTCTGAACAATGATTCTTAACTTGTATGCATACAGAGATAACCCGCCACCACAAGTTCAACATCGTGAAAAGGAACACTTATTGAACATGAGGTATAAGGAAGGTTTTAGAAACATATGTTCAAAAACGCTGTACGTCTCCACTTGACCTCCTGAATTCCTCGACACAAAGGAATGAGATGACATTCTGAAAATGATATCTGGGATAATATCGGCAAAACTATGCAACTTGTCAACAGAAGCCTAATGAAACTGTATCAATTGAAGATTCATTGTCCCCGAAACATTTGTTAATTTTTTAAACACCACGAGAAATCGTTGTGAAACATACATTGGAATCTGTTATTAAATTCTCTCAATTTTTCTACATCATTTTTAGACTATCTTGTGATTCCGGTTATTCTATCATCATCCTGCTTTGATATATTTTCATATAAAATTTTACTCTATTTTGGTGTTTCATTTCACTGCAGATAGATGTGCCTCATGACGGAAGTACCAAGATTTAATTGGATGGATATGATTTCAGCAATGGAGAGCTCTCGAAATGGCGAATTTTGTTCATCTATTATTTAATCATCTTAGCCGTAATAGATTTATTAATGCTCTAATTTTATTCAATAGAGTATTAGTAATGACCCTAGCTTGTTTGAATACTAGAGTAGTTTTCTTTACCTTTCTAAGAATACACCTTGCCATTTATATACTTGCAAAACTTTCTACAGCAGACACTAAAGGTAGACTCTCTCAAATGAAGTTCCTTTATATAGTAATGCAATAGTATTATTAAAAAGTTGCACAATAATTAAGAATATCTATGACCACAGTTTTGGTATTTCTTTACTGCCTCAAGGATCCAGTTCTAAGACTAATATAGAATTATTATTATAGTTTTCCCTCTTTTTTTTCAATGCGCTTAAGTCCCGCAGTGGACGGATGGTTCAGTCACGGATCGTTGGGCTACCGAACTGGGGGTGGCATGTCCTCGAATCATCCTCAGGGATGCTTCCCAGACCGTCGCCCAGTGCAACGTAAATGAACTACAACAATGCATACGTTTTTCAAGCGTGTCTCGGCTGTTAAAGTAATCTGTCAATTGTTGGTTCCGACTAAACTCATTTGATGTATTCTTATTTTATAGGATTTGATGATGCACTTCGCTCTATTAACCCTTTACTTACTGTCATTCTGGTCCACTTCTGGAACCCGTAAGCCGAAGGTTAATAAGACTGTAGAAGCAGCCTTTGAATATTTTTTGCATGAATTTCAGAATGTCGCTTACCCGCCCTTCATTTGAATCTTCCTGCCTGTTGCAACATGAACAGGAATATCTTGTGCCTCTTCAATCGTGTTGGTAACATTTTTAACACAAACCGTGATCCGTCTCATGTGATTCTCGGGATGACGACTTGACAATCCACCTACACACAAATAATGACTTCAATAAAAAATTTAGGAAGCGGAAATTTAAAACAAAATAAGCTCAATTTTTATTCGTTCATTTTCAAATTTTACCACAATACTGATAACACTCATAGAAATCTGTGTACAATATGTTTTAGAAAAAAAATTAAAAAATTAGATTTTAAACGATAGCCAAAAATATGGCTTTTAAGTGTTGATAATTAAAAAAGTTCCTTGCGAACAAATTTTAATTTTTACTTAAATTTTTACCCAAATAATTCGTTTTTAAGGTATTTAAATAAACTAGTGGGCTGCGCCCCCTGCTCGCTAACGCACGCTCGCCAACCCCCGAAAATTTCTACGCAATGTTATATGGTTTACTTCGCAAACCAGTCTCGCTTCGCTCGCTACTAACTTAGGTACATTGCAAATGCACAAAATTCTAAGAATTCAAAACAATCATTCAAATCCATATAAAACTTTTTTTTCTAAAAAAAATTACATCTTTTTAGTAAATACTGAGTCCTTAAAATAAATTTGAATTCAAATAAATGACATGTAATTCGTTAAATCTATTAGAAATGTGTTATAGTATAAAATCTTAAGATAAAATTTCTAAAACTGATATCTCTTTAAAAAGGTTAAAATTTCGGCTATAATTAAGTCTATTAAAAATTTAAATAAGTGAATTGCAATGGAAAAACCTGCATAAACAAATAAATTCTAGTAAAACAAATAAATTCGTGATATAAATCAAAAATTGTCAAATAAATTCGTAATACATAAATTCGATAAAAAAAAAACGCTTTCGACAAAAAACTAAAATAGAGATCTATCGACAAAGACTTCTGCCTAGCTTATGCTCTCCCTGGTTATTTCAGTTTCCGTTTTTAAAAGTGCTATATGTTGAGCCATCTTAGCTAGATTTGGCATGTGACATTTTTAGCGGCAATCATTGGTCTATTTTCTAGCGTTGCCATTCGGGGAGTTGTAATGAGGCTTTTTTTTATCGCCGTGTAAGAGAAATATATATATAGATTGAAGTGTTTTTGGTAACTGTATGTAAACGTAACGTACCTTGGCATTAAATTTTTATTGTGTCGCAAAAACTATCTTCGGAAAACACTCCTCAATTATATTTTCATGTTTATTAAAAAAATTTCGTGACTCTGTAGAGTGAATCAAATGAATTTAAAATTAAACAAGATACTTCGAAGAGTGTCTGAATTTTTTTAAAAATAACAATAAAACAAAAACTGGTGAGCTAGAAACTTTTTGAAGTTCTAAGACTATCGAAAAATTACACTACAAGAAAAAACAATTTTGTCAACGATGACTACATATTGATGTAGATTGGGCTATTTCAAATCTATAATTAATAATCTTCATAATCTTATAAGTCTGTATAGAAAACTCCGATTTAAGAAAGGGGTTTGTTACATAGTACTTAATAAAATGCGAAATTTTTTTAATATTTCACAAACCAAATAATGGATTTTTCAAGAATTTTTCTCATTCCGAACATCATTTAAAACAAGAAACTGACACGCCTTAAGGAGATTTAAAATAAGAGCATTTAAGGTGCAAAAACATTAAAACATATACTTATAATCATCATAATTTTTTTTTAAAAAATTGATATCGCTCTATACAATTTTGGTGAATTTAGTTATGGTTTAATAATATCGCTTCTTCAATACGAATTCTGTTACCATAATGTTGCAACTTTGTACTCAAAATTGCCGTTCACAGTAAATATATGTATTTGTTTATCTTTTCGGTTGTTATAATTGAAAAATAAAGTTCCTATACCTTTACAAGCTTTGAAAGGCTTCTTAAATTGCAATGAGAAAGAATCGTTAAAACTTGTATATATATTTTTTAACTTTATTCCATAATTTTCTGTCAACCTACCTTCCACCCATAACAGTTCACTTCAACATAAAATAAAATCCATAACTTTGCTAGAGAGGTCGTTACACAACTAAACGTTGTAAAAACGACTCCGACAAAAGGGACACAATTCTTGTACAGATAATTCTTTACTACACCGTTCTTTTACACGTTGTAAAGTATTCTTTTCGTTAATATAAAAATTATAAATTAAAGACATAAGAAAGTTATTTCTATGATAGGATTTATGATATTTCTTAAAGTTTGTAAATCAAATATACATAAGGAATATGATTTCTATCAAGGTTTAACAAAACCAAAGCAGACATAAATTAAATATTATAAAATTATTTAATACAATTGACAGATTTATGAAAACTGTCTTATGAGAACGTAGTTATCTTTATTATAAAACTAAAATCATACACATTATAACCATTTAATTATAATAATATTTCGTGAAATATTCAGCTACTTTATCTGCTCGATAGTAAACAAGAAATATCGATCGTCTGACTCCAAAATGGGCGAAAATAATTCATGAATGGTGTAAACTTTCGCATTTATTGGATTTTACATTTAGTTACTTCCTTTATTGCCTCGATTTGGGACAATGTTTCAGAGCTTTTCAAAAATTTTAGATAGTGTACCGGAGTTCGTTTCGATTAGAGATGAATAAAAGAACGAAAAGACTTCAAAAATTTATGAGCCGAATCTTTCAGAAAATACAGAGATTTCTAGCACCCCATTACAGCTACAATAACAGTGTGGTATACAACAAGACAAAGGATTCACAATCGCAGACGAGAAAATTTCCAACTCAGGCCAGAACACACACTGCGAGCACACTCTTAATTTATCGAAGCTCGGCGAAAAACTTGCGACGTGATTCTAGACAATTCTCGTATAACTCCGTAAATATTGGCTTTATTGCTTTGTAGCTCGAAGTTTCTACAATTATCATTTTATTGCCAAAATGGCTGCCAAGTATCGCCAATTTTACAAAATTATCACCAAGTCGGCAAAACAAAATGTCGCCAATCCAAATTTTCCATAAGAAATGCATTAGGAATTATTTTCTCTCTAAATTACGTTAGAATTACGAGACTTTCTTGAAAATTTTGAAATTAATTTTGGGTCCGTCTCAGATATTTAGCCTCGTAACAAGGAATATTTACAAAATTAAACGCATATATACAAATTCGTAATAATAGATATTGCACCACAGTTTTTACATTGTAGAAAGGATGTTTTTTTTTTTTTTTTTTTTTTNTTTTTTTTTTTTTTTTTTTTTTTTTTTTTTTTTTTTTTTTTTTTTTTTTGAATTAGCATTCTGTGTTAAAATATATTGGGAAAAATACCCGGTAACTCTAGCTTCAGGTTACAAGTGAGTTTTTCTGCGAAAAGCTTGACTTTTTAATACCTTCATACAAGATTGCTTCTGCCCGGGGTATACAAAGAGATCTTATTGGAACCTATTTGTGGAAATAGACAAATAGAATACTTCTATCGATTTATTACTCAAAAATCTGCAGTTAATTTTGGTAAAGCAATGTTATGTTACACTGTCAATTGCGTGACAAAACAAATTATAGTTCATTTTTAAAAAAATACAAGGTGGAAAAATAACTTCTCAATTTGTGGTTTTACTGCAACTTTTTGATATCTCTATCTTGAACAGTAGATGAGTTTGAAGGAACTGCGCAGAGGACATACTTTAATGCTAACAGGAATTTCCTTTTTTTATCACTTTAACCTTTAGATGTCTGGATGATCACGGTTCTCATACCAATATACTCGCATTTTATTTAAAAAATAACATATAGTGGTGGTTACATATTTATTACATGATCTAGCTCAGTTTAATTTGGCCATAACTTAAACATGTCACTGCATTACTATTAGGTCTATTCTATTCTTTTAAATGTTATATATATATATATCGTGGGGGTCGTAAACCAACTTTATTACATCAAAAATGAAATAGTGACATTTGGTAATACTTAAAATTGAAAAAAAATCTTTCTGTCTCTACAAGGGAAGAAGTTAGAAATTATGCATTCATTAAACTTTAAAATGATGTCTAGAATTATTTACTCAAGTTTGCATTTTTAGACAGGTTCGATCTTGCTTCTTTTATGACTAATAGATAATATAATATGTGTGGAGACATGACACTTGTCTGGACACTTTTTAAGTATAATTTTTCTTTTGTCTTCATTCAAGTGAGACGTGATTGAGTTGTAAATAAATTATAGTGTTCTCTCAAATGAAAAAAAAAATGATCTCTAACTTAACGTGATCAAAACTTGAGTGAAATTCCAAATGTAGATGAATTACTTATAAGACATCACGATGTTAACTGAAAAACAATCAACTGAACTTGAAAAAAATGTGTATTAATAGACCTTTGTATGCACAATGTAAAAAATAAACGAGAATGCTGGTGACGCATCGTTATTTGCATATCATTATTATATCCAAATATATCATTATGTTATTATAACAAGAGACAAATATTATGTATCATTTCTCTCTTCTTATAAAGTCGGTTAAAGATAGCAACGTTGTTGAAAAGTGAGAGAACTAAAAAAAAAATGTATTTAACTTACTTATTAAATAAAAGTGAAATTTGACGTGCTTTTATTTATAAACTTGTCGCGGGTGTAAATCAAATTTGTACAAAAGTTATTGCAATTTCATAGTTATTGTTGTTTTAAATATTGTCAAAACGAATAAATATAACAATAAATTAATAAAAAATTTAAAAAAAAAAGAATGAGCATTGTTTAGTTCTGAAATAAACTTATATAAAATGCTCTGAAAAAAAAAATCGATTGCGTCAATTCGATTCTTTAAGTTGCAACCTATATTTTATGTTTTACTTTTCTTGCAAAATCATAGTTAAGTTTATTTTTAATTTTTTTTTCCTATTGAAATTTATTGTCTTTAAGGGAAACCAATATTTTCAGTAAATTTGGTAATTCGGCCATTCTTTAAGAAAAAGAAGACCTCCACACATGTGAGCTATGACGTCAGCTAATATTTATCAGCAAAATGGCGCATCAAAGTGGAGCTATAATTTTCTCTACGCAAGTTAGGATGTTAATGAAGGACGAGTTAA